TATATATATATATATATAATTGAGTTTTCCCTACACAAAAGATAATGCTCCTCTCAGATTCCAAATAAAAAGCCTAGTGTAGGGCTATTTTCTTTAAATTGTTGGGGATGGTCCCAGAGACCATCCTCCAAAACAATAAGGCTATTACCATTGATTTTGGTTGCTGTGGTGATTTGAATGAGATGTCCCCCATAGTCTTGGGCATTTGGACACTTGGTCCCCAGTTTGGAAGCTGTGACATTGCTGGAGAAGTATGTTACTAGGAATGGGCTCTGAGGTTTTCTCTGGCATCATTCCCAGATCACTCTCAGCCTTCTGCCTGTGGTTTGAGATGTGAGCTCAGAGCTGTTCCTGCTGCCATGACTGCCATCTACTCCCATGATTCGTGCCATAGCACTCTTATCTCTCTGAAAACATAAGTTCAAGCAAATGCTCTCTTCTTTAAGTTGGCTTGGTCATGGTGCTTTTATTGCAACAATGAAGAACACTAAGTAATACAGTTGCCCACCCAAACCGAACAGTAAGGCTCTGTTGCTAAAGAGAGCACACACTTTGCTCATAGCTGTCATAGTTCCAGAAGGGGCTATGCAGGATGCTGGGTGTGGGGGAGTGGAGAGCAATCAATAGTCTTACCCAGCTAAGACTTCTGTGAGCTCTAACAATGACTGACTGGCAAGATGTGTGACGAGGGTAACTAACAGCTTTCTGATTGGATTGAAGGCCCACTTCGAAAGAGTAATCTCGTGCCTGGTAGTATAAATCAATCTGACTTATATCTTAGGAAGACTTTATACTGCCTGTAAACCCTCTACCCAAGGCAGCTTTTCTTGAGGGACTTTTGCCTATCCAAGTGATCGACAGGGCCCTTTTGAATTGTCCTTTCTTTAGAAAGGACAACTGTATTCTTATTCCTTAAGAATGCCCCACAGATCATAATCGAGAGTTATTTCTGTTTTATGTGTGTGTTTGCCTGCATATATGTCTGTGTACCACGTGCCTGATGCCCACCGAGACCAGGAGCACTGGATCCCCTAAAATTGGAGTTACAGATGATTGTTAGTTGCCATGTGGGTTCTGGGAATCGAACCCAGGTCCTCTGGAGGGGCAGCCAGTGCTTTTAACCACTCACGCATCTCTCCAGCCCCCAGATCATATACTTAAAAGGTTTAGGAAGCTATCAATGATGGCCTTCCAGACAGTTCAGAATGAATGACATCCCCATCAAGGAAGGGAACTATGACCCCGATCTCATTCTTTTGAGCAACAAACAGTCTTGAAATTTCACTTTTGGCTTTACAAGCTGCTGATTAAGAGGGAGGGGTCCATCCCCAAAGACCTCCTTCCCTGATGATCTCTAACTTGCTACCTCACAAAACTAACTTTTAAACAATTGGGACTGCTTAATGGTAATACAAATTTTGAATAGTAGCAAGTTTGTCAAAACTGCCTTGATTTACACCGAGTAATTTACTGTGTTATCCACAAACACCATCCCCTCACTCAGCTGAGAATTCAAGACACATTTCTTGAATTCTCCCCTGATTGCTTTCTCTTGTAAAGATGATAGCGTATCATCTGTTCCTTACAGGTTAACTGCAGCTGAGGTGTGAAGGCGATGTTTAAAGACCAAACACAATGAGCACCCAACATGGAGTTGATGGCGTTTTCACAGCCATCATGAATGGGAACACCAGGCTGAACGGATCCTGTTGCTACAGTGCACTAGGGGAGTCAGCTGACAGTGTAAGAGAGGAAAACATTCCCTGATTTCCCTGATAGCCCTATCCAGAAAGACAACCAATTGCACAACATAACAACAATGGCTACATCTTAGTTTCTAAGGTACTAGGATAAGGTTCGAAGGTTCTTTTATCTCTGCAAGACAGAGGCAAAACAAAGGTAGCTAAGGCTGAAGGAGGACGTTGTGCATACTCTGAACACCCGCTGTTTGTGGGGGCTGACTGATGCATATATGCCCTACCTGTTCTCGGTTGAACAGCAATGTTCAACACTCAAGAAGGGAGGTTCCGGGGTAAGATGATCAACCCTCACTCAGAAAGACAAATGGGATCGACATTGGAAGAAGGAGAAAACAGGAAACAGGACAGGAGCCTACCACAGAAGGCCTCTGAAAGACTCTACCTAGCAGTGTGTCAGAGCAGACGCTGAGACTCATAATCAAACTTTGGGCAGAGTACAGGGAATCATATGAAAGAAGGGGAAGTTAGTAAGACCTGGAGAGGACAGGAGCTCCACAGGGACCAAATATATCAGAGCACAGGGGTCTTTTCTGAGACTGATTCTCCAACCAAGGATATAACCTAGAACCCCTGCTCAGGCATAGCCCATGGCAGCTTAGTAAGGGGAACAGGGACTGTCTCTGATATGAACTCAGTGGCTGGCTCTTTGACCTTCCTTCCTGCCGAGAGAGGAGCATCCTTGCTAGGCCACAGAGGAGGACATTGCAGCCAGTCCTGATGAGACATGATAAACTAGGGTCAGATGGAAGGGGAAGAGGACCTCCCCTATCAATGGACTTAGGGGCAGGGAGGAGATGAAGGAGGGAGGGTGGAATTGGGAAGGACTGAAGGAGAGGGCTACAACTGGGATACACAGTAAATAAACTGTAATTAATATAAAAAATAAAAATTTATTAAAAAAAGAAAGAAAACTCATACTGAGCATTCTGAAGTCCTTGGAGAAAAATGCTTTGTTTAGATTGAACAACATCATTGTTCAAATTGTCAGAAATAATGAACATTCATCCAACAGTTAAGTGTTTGCTTATTTTCTTTGTGTTCATGTTTTTAGGTTGTTCCTGCTGTGCTAGGCATGGATGAGGGTCCAGATTTCCATGTTCTTGCATCATAGTACAAAGAACTGGACCAGGAATACAAGGATAATGGTAGAAATAGATACAGCTTGTTGATGTTGTTGCTGGTGGTGGTGGTGGGATGTGAAAGCCCCTTGTGGTACAAACTGCTCTAATGGCCACAGCTCTGGAGACACAAGTGGCCAACAGGAAAAAGGAGAAGAAAAAAAGCCCAAGCAGATGAGGCACAAAATTCCACCAATCCCAGGCTACTCTGGAAAGTTCCACATTTCCCACCCCTCAAGAAACCCTATATGAAGCCTGGCTCCTGCTCAGTTCTTTGCTGTTTCTGGTCCAAGCAGAGGCAGCCAAACTCTTGACTCTTTCCCAATAAATCTCCTGTGTGAGGTTCGTTGTGAGGTGTGACTTTGTGATAGTCCCTGGCTCCTGACAGGCAGGATACCTTTCTTTCCAGAGCTGCAACGCTTGCATTGGGGAAACTTTTCCTCTCAGAACTGTCACACTTATAGTGTGTGTGTGTGTGTGTGTGTGTGTGTGTGTGTGTGTGTGTGTGTGTG